CTCTCTCTCTCTCTCTCTCTCTCTCTCTCTCTCCCGGTCGTTCCTCTGCCCACTGTGTCCGCACCATTGGGGGTTCTCTGTACTTGCCGCCTTGTTCATTCTCATCCATCCTAGCCTTGCTCCATTGGCTATTGTACCTGCCATTTCATTGTCCTTTATTTCATTATTTTCGCCGCATTCCTGTCTCCCTTTCGCCCGGCAAGGGGTGCGAATTTCCCCTCCCTTTATTTACGGCGCCGTAATAACAGACGTCTTAACGGAATTTAAACGTCATAAATGGCCTGCCATGATCTCATTAGTTTACGAGATGCTTGCTTCTCCTCTCCCTCTGCCTCTCCTCCTCCTCTGTTGTCTCTCCGCGCCGCTTCGTCACACAAGGTGTAGCGACAAAGCTCGTTCGCCAGCGGGCAATATCGCGAGATCCACCATTCCGACATCAAAGAAAATATTTTGTAATATAGCCTACGCGTGAGGGGGGGGGGGGTTCGATGTTGCACGCGCGGATGTTTAAGGTACGTTGAAACGAAGCGTGACGTTGGCACAGGTACGGTGCCGCGAAGATTTGACGTTTGTTCTAGGCGCTTGGTTCGTCGAAAAGGAATTCACGTCTGGGAATTTTATATTTTTCCAAATGAAATGGAGATCGTATGTATTTTCATACCTTTGGATTTACCGTGTTAACGCAGTTTGTTTAATGTTTGTACAGATCCACGATCTGATGATAAACGTCATAGTCATACTCGTTGTCAGAGGAATTATCGATTCGTGCCTGAAGTAAGGTCTTAATGAATTACTTGTTAATTATTTGCATTACACCAGGCGTACGAAATTTAATAAAAATTCATTTAACTGTATCATAACTCTTTCCCAGGTGTCTCCTGTAATGGAACAAGTATCTTCATACTTTTGAACGAGGGTGTATGCCAGCAGAAGGTGTGATGAAAGGTTCTGACGCTTGACCCTTGCTGAACGTGTCGATGAAATAGAGGAGACAAGGTACGAGGGAAAAGAAAGAAAGAAAAAAAAAAAAAAAAAACAGGCGCGTATCAGCGACAGTCAATTTGAACGAAGAAAATTCTCCCTTACCGAGAAAAATGTTTCTCCGCGATGCAAACATCGTGTTTAAAGAATGATTATGTTATCGATGCTATTCCTCTCTCTAGATAACAATTTGATCTAAAATCTTCTTTAACGTTGATATTCGCGTATAACCGCTCCGTGAAACTTTGTCCAAACATTTCCTCCTCCTCCTCCCCCCCCCCCGCGTCACTAAAATTCCATTTACCTATCAAATTCCAAGCAAGTATCCTTTAATTGTATCAAAGAAACAAACTTCCTCCTCGAACAACTATCAATGTCTTCAGCCCACCGAGCTGTAATGCTCCGCACGAGCTTATCATCTAGAATGGTTGAGCACTGGCGAAACAGACAGCGGGATCATTTTTCGGCGAGGAAAAAGCTGAACACAACATTGGCAATGTCATGATTCAAAAATAATCTCAATCTGGTGTGTGAAATGATCCTTGTACCTTGTTCACCACGTGGAGACACAATCGAATCGAATGTCGTGCAGGCAAGTGTTTTTTTTTTTTTTCCCCCCCGTTACAAAACACCATGATCCATCGTAGATCCGTATTTGAGAATGTGCAGCGTGATTTAGCCCGGGTAATATGATTATAGGCCTCTGTCTCCCTCGTATTCTCTGGCTCCTTCGTGTCTCTGCCTCTCTCTCTTCTCGCCCCTCTGCTCTGTCAATGTGTGTGCGTACGCGTCTGTTGGACCGTCCTTTTCATCCACCCCCAACGAATCTCCGGCGCCGCAAGGGGATGAGAACGCCGACACCT